CAGCATTATTTCCAGTAGCCAGAAAGTAGCAGCAACGAGGGTCACTCAGCAATTGAAGGAATAAACAAAATGTGATCGACATGTTTACAATGGAATATTATGCAGCCTTAAAAACAATGAACATGAACCTTGGAGACATAAAACCAATAGAAGTCAGCTGGTTGGGCAAGGTCAGGTGCATTGTGTGAGTTCACTCACATCGGGCGCACAGAGTAATCTCATTCAAAAAAGTAGGACAGAGGCTGCCAAGGGCTGAGGGGAGGCAGGGTTGGTGACTTCTTGTTCAATGGGTACAGAGTTCTAGTTCTGAAAGATGAAGTGTCTTTCGGAGGTTGGTAGTGCTAATGTTTGCACAGCAACTTGAATTATTTAATGTTCCTGAACTGTACACATATAAAATGGTTGAAATGATTTCCCAGAACTCACTGTAGTAAAACATAGGTCTCTGAGTTCAGTAGAATATTTAAATTAACTGTCTTTTTAAATTATCAAGTAAAGCTGCCCTCTGCAACACTAGCATCTCATACGGATGCCAGTTCAAGTCCTGGCTGCTTAACTTCCAATCCTGCTCCCTGTTAATGTGCCTGGGAAAGAAGCCGAGGTTGGCCCAAGTGCTTGGACCCACGTGGGAGACCTGGAAGAAGCTCCTGGCTTTTGCCTGGTCCTTGTGGCCACTTGGAAAGTGAACAAACAGGTGGAAGATATTCTCTTTCCCTCTCCCTCCTCTCTTTCTTCCCTCTCTCCCTTTCTCTTTGTGTAACTCTGCCTTTCAAATAAATAAATCTTTTAAAAATACTTTAAAAATATTCAGTGAGCTAAAAAAGAACTCAGAGAGCCATTAAATGAAGTCAGGAAAATGATGCATGAACAAAAGTGATAAAAGTGGTGAATTTTGTTACACGTATTTTACCTCGATTTAAAAACCAAATCTAGAGTGGCCGTTTGTCCCAGAGGGTTAAGCCGCCACTTCATATATCACATCTGGTATGGGAATACTTGAGTTTGAGCCCTGGCTCTGCTTTCCATTCCAGATTCTGGCTGAGCACTCCCTGAGAGGCAGCAGGTGACTCTTCCATAAAAGTGCTTGTGTCCCTGGCCATTCACGTGGTAGACCTGGGTTGAGTTCTGTGCTCACTGTGCTCATAGCTTTGGCTTGGCCCTGATCTGGCTATTGTGAACATTTCAGCAGCGAGCTAATGGACAGGAGATACCTCCCTGTCTCTCTGTCTCTCAAATAAATAAAAAATAAAATCCAGCATATGACATCCTTCTGTTTTTAAAAATTGCCTATTTTGGCCGGCGCCGCGGCTCACTAGGCTAATCCTCCGCCTAGCGGCGCCGGCACACCGGGTTCTAGTCCCGGTCGGGGCGCCGGATTCTGTCCCGGTTGCCCCTCTTCCAGGCCAGCCCTCTGCTGTGGCCAGGGAGTGCAGTGGAGGATGGCCCAGGTGCTTGGGCCCTGCACCCCATGGGAGACGAGGAAAAGCACCTGGCTCCTGGCTCCTGCCATCGGATCAGCGCGGTGCGCCGGCCGCAGCGCGCCGGCCGCGGCGGCCATTGGAGGGTGAACCAACGGCAAAAGGAAGACCTTTCTCTCTGTCTCTCTCTCTCACTGTCCACTCTGCCTGTCAAAAAAAAAAAAAAAAATTGCCTATTTTTTATTCGTTTGAAAGGCAGACATCTCCTGTCCTCTGATTCACTCTCCCAATCCCCACAACAGGCAGGGCTGGGCCAGGGTAAAGCCAGGAGCCCAGAGCTCCATCCACATCTCCCAGATGTTTAGCGCAGAGCCAAGTGTTCGAGCCGTCACCTCCCAGGGTGCACCCTAGCAGGAAGCTGCCCAGGCACTCTGATCTGAAATGTGACTGTCCCAGGCAGCATTCTGATTTGCCAAACACCCACCCCTTTTAAAAATTCTTACTGCAATAAGTGGTTAATATTATTCTTATCCAGTGTACTTTTAGCCTCTTGCCCCATAGGACATTTTATTCCTTTTTTTTTTTTTCTTCAAAATTTATTTTAAAGGCAGAGTTACAGAGAGAGAAATGGAGAGACAGAGACAGAGAGAATTTTTTATCTGCTGGTTCCCTCCCCAAATGGCTGCAGTGGTCAGGGCTGGGCCATGCTGAAGCCAGGAGCTTCTTGCAGGTCTCCCACATGGGTGCAGAGGTCCAAGCACTTGGGCCATCTTCCACTGCTTTCCTAAGCACATTAGCAGGGAGCTGGATCGGAAGTAGACCAGCTGGGTCTCAAATGAGCACCCATATGGGTTGCTGGCATCTCATGGAGAGGCTTAACCTGCTACGACGCAGTGCCGGCCCCAGTGACATTTTCTTATTTTCACAGTTCAGCATGTCTGGGTACAGGTAGTAGTAGTGGGGAGAGGCCAAAGGTGCTACAGAACATCTTACAATGCCCAGGACAGTCCCTGCAACAACTAATCATCCAGAAATGTCACTCAGTACTGCTGAGGCTGAGTAACCCTGAAATAGATTGATGACCAATTACAAGAAGATTTCATGTGATTAGAGCTTTCTTCCGAGAAGAAAGATGATGACCGTATGAAAATTGGATTGTGCTGTGAAAATAGAGATTCATTAGGCAGTGTGTTAATCTGTTGGGGCTGTGTAGCAGAATACAGCACGATGGCTTAAATGGCAGAAATGCATTTCTCACAGTCCGTTCTGGAGGTGGGAGGTCCAAGATCTGGGTCCAGTAGAAGGCGGTTACTGGTGAGGCCTCCCTTGCTTCCCGATACCTGCTCTGCTGCTGTCATGCTGCGGCTCTTCCTCTGCGTGTGTCTGCCTCGTTTTATAGGGGCTGTTGGAACAGGATGCATCCTTACAACCTTGCTTAGGCTTTGCCTTTGTAAGTGCCCTGTCTCCAGAGACAATCGCACTGGGAGTTGCACTGTAGTCCGTGACATTCTGGTTTGTGCACCCCACCTCCTTAGGTGCACCTTGCAGCTTCAATGCAGTGTCTTGGCCTGTGTGCTCTGGGTGTTGGTGGCGGTGGGCCTTTATTTCGTGTCATCTGTCCCCTTTAGTCCAAACTAGTAGTGTGTCTGCTGGTGTAATCCCATCTCTGTCTGGCCACCGCTGCTGAGACAGGTGATTAAATCCTTGGGTAATCTCCACGGAACATTATCCAGCCACATCTTCGATATTCCCTCCAGGGTGTACCTTCTCATTTTGTCTAGTATGTACAGGCTGAGAATTTTCTGAATCTACCTCCTGGTTCCTTATTCAGTTCATCTCTCTGCTCTTCTGTTTTATTATGATCAGTAAGGAGAAACCAGGCTGTACCTTCAGTATTTTCTTTACAAGTCTACTATGCTGAGTTATCCAAAGGGATCCAGGATTCCCACCCTCCTGCTTCCTGCCTTCCTTTTCTTCCAGTTATTTGAGAGGCAGAGAGTTTACATCCCAGGGCTCACTCACCAGATGCCCCAGTTGGGGCTGGGCCATGGCCAAAGCCAGGAACTGGGAACTCAATTCAGGTCTCCTGTGTGGGTGCCAGTTACCCAATTACTTGGACCATCGTTACTGCCTCTTTGTGAGTCCACTAGCAGGGAGCAGAGAGTAAGGAGTTAGAGCTGGGAATTGAACCCAGGCACTCTGGTGTAGAATGTAGGCTACTTAACCACTAGGCTTAGTCAAGTCTGCTCCAGAATCACCCTTTTTAGTTTATTATTGATTTCTGGCTGACATTGAATCAGAATCACTTTTCACATCCACACAGATAACTCCTTCCAACAGCTTTTCTCAAGACAATTCCTTTTCTTAACAAGGGCCTTGAGAATTCTTCTAACTCAACAATTTCAATTTTTACTCTCCTCCTTTATGAGTGTGTTAGAGCAGTGCCCTGTGCTGTGATCCTGATCTCTGTTAGAGTTAGCCGGAGAAGTAAAATCAAGAGAGCAGTTAGAGATGCAGGAGATTGAGGTGCTGGCTCTGTGAATATGAAGCCTGGAGAGTCCAAAACCCACAGCGTGGGGTAGCCGATCTGTGGATGTTGCAGAAGAAATCCCAAGATCGTGTCCTGGAGAATTCCCCGGCCCCGGCAGGTTGGTCTTTCTGTCGTGCAGACCTTCAGCTGATTGGTTGAGGCACAGCTACATTGCAGAGAGCCTGTGCCTACTGAGGGGGTCACCAGTTCACACTGCTATCTCCAGATATCTTCCACGTTGACATGGAAGATGATCTGTTTAGGAGAAACAGCGGACTGATGCGGTATATGTAAGAGTGGAACTAGGTATCAAGCCAGAGTAGAAGCTTTTGTTGGGTATGGGAGTTAAGTGAAGCTTTCAAGCCTTCGCTTTGGGAAAGATGGTGATACCATCAACAACACCCAGGACAGAAAACCTTCCCCCCTTACCTGAGCACCACTGTTCAGAAAACGACGCTTTTTATTATTATTTTTAATTTACTTATTTATTTGAAAGTCACAGTTACACAGAGAGAGAAGGAGAGACAGAGAGAGAGGTCTTCCATCCGCTGATTCCCCCCCAGATGGCCTCCATGGCCGGAGCTGCACTGATCAGGAGCCAGGAGCTTCTTCCGGGTCTCCCATATGGGTGCAGGGGCCCGGTGCAGGGGCCCAAGGACTTGGGCCATCTTCCACTGCTTTCCCAGGCCACAGCAGAGAGCTGGATCGTAAGTAGGCAGCCAGGTCTTGAACCAGTGCCCATATGGGATACTGACACTGCAGGTGGCAGATTTACCCGCTTCACCACAGCTCCGGCCCCCAGAAAATGATTCTTAACCTTGGCTGTACATAGAATCATCAGGGGGATTTGAGAATCTCTGCATCCCAGCTGTGCTGCTGAGTGGTAAATCAGAATCCCAGGGGTGGTAAGATCAGTCCACCAGTGTTTTTCTCTAGCTCATGTTAGTACGCAGCTGACTGAGTAGTATTTTGAGGGAAAGCACTGTCATAGGAAGCCAACAGAATCGTGGGGTACATGAGACTAGGTGTCACTGATTTGTCTCTTTCCCTAGCTGGCCTCGGTCGAACAGGCACCCTGATAGCCTGCTACATCATGAAGCATTACAGGATGACAGCAGCCGAGACCATCGCGTGGGTCCGAATCTGTAGGCCCGGCTCGGTGATTGGGCCTCAGCAGCAGTTTCTGGTGATGTAAGTAGCTGGAAAGCTCTTGTGGTCTCCCCTGGAAACTGACAGCAAGTGGAATTTTGTTAGTCTCCAGTGACATCTGCTTGTCCAATAGGAAGAGGTTAGGTTATTGATGTGTCTTTCTGGAAAGCTGTGTTTTGTTGTCATTTAAACGCTCTAGGAAACAAGCAAGCCTGTGGCTGGAAGGGGACTATTTCCGACAAAAGTTACGGGGGCAGGAGAATGGACAACACAGAACCTCGCTCTCCAGACTCCTTTCTGGTGTCGATGACATCTCAATAAATGGGGTCGAGAACCGAGACAAGCAGGAAGCAGAACCGGTAATGGAACCACCCTCATCGCGCTGTTGTTATTGCTTTAAATGCTGTTGAGAACCTTGTAGGGCATGCAGAAAATTGTAGGTGAAAACAATAAAGCGCGTTTTGAGGGATTATCGTCACACAGCCTTTTATATGTACGGCCCTCTCTGGGAACATCATAGTCAAATCAGTTAACGGAAGGATAAGTGTCCATAAAACCGAAGGTATCTCTTACTTACCAGGCACAGGTGGGAGAGAGGACGGTGAAGGGAGCTCTTTAGATGGACCTAGTACTGCTCTGCCCCTATCCCTTTTCTCATCACGACAGCTCATTAGTTTCCACGTGGAGTTTAGGGATTTAGGGAGTAGCAGTACTCAGTTAAGTGGTGGTAAGTACCTGGGGAAATCGTAACAAGAACGTTCTTACCCATGAAAACCCATGGTGCCTCTTCAGTGTATGACAGGAGGCTGCTGGGGTCTCGTCTCTCTGTGCAGGTCCACTTTGGTCATCTCAAAATGGGACCTGTAGCTCCATGTTGCAGGAAGCTCAGCAGAAACTTGGGGGTGTGTAGCAGTAAGGGTTTGTGTCTATCTGCTGCGCTTGACTGCATTCCTAGTGCAACTTAAACCATTAGCTCAGTGTTTTTTTACTTACACAGTACAGTGATGACGACGAAATGAATGGCGTGACACAAGGTGATAGACTTCGGGTTCTGAAAAGCAGAAGACAATCAAAAGCAAAGGCTGTCCCCCTCACGTGAGTCCGGTTCCCTCTGTGGGGTGATGGTGCTGTGTGGTGTGGGGGGGTTTCCTGGCGAACGCTTTGCCCCATGCATTTCTCTCTGAATTTGCATGTCCATTGTGCCACTTTGCAGTTAATTTCTTTGTTATTTGAAAACCCAAGGGTGTTTCTCCCAGCCATCCTAGGTTTATTTACGTGCTCTTGGGGTAACCTCAGGAGCCTTTATCCGTGGGCAAGCAATATTAACAGTGCTTTTCTCCATGGATGGGCAGCATGGGCTAGCCTCAGGGGAGTGACAGTGACAGCGGATGTAAAGTTCAGAACAGCAGACTTGCCCATGGCTACTACAGCTGTCAGTTCTGTTCAACTCACTACCACATTACAGATCATTTGGGATTTTCTCTTAATGTTAAAAAGTTATTTATTCATTTGAGAGACAGCCAGACTGAAAGAGCGCTCCCATCCACTGATTGATTCCCCCAATGCCCACAGTGGCCAGGACCAGGAACTTAACACAGTTTGCCCACATGAATGGCAGGGACCCAGTTACTCGCATCATCACCTCTGCTTCCCAGGGTCTGCATTGGCAGGAAGCTGGAATGAAGAGTGGAGCTGCAGGGGCAGGTATAGAACCAGATACTCTGGTACGGGCTGAGGGCATCCTAACTGGTGCCTTTAACTGCCAAGTCCGGTGCCAACCCCAGAGCATTTGTTTTGATACCGTAGCATTTAGTCAGCTGTGACATGATGGCTTACTCACATCTGTGTGTGTGTGTGTGTGTGTGTGTGTGTGTGTGTGTTATAGTAATGTTCCGATTGCAGATGGTTTCTTGTGTGGTGTTAGGTTGGATTCAACTTCATGGAATGTCCAGAATTGTTAGAAAGTGCTTAGAGTCAAGGTTCATGGGCCGTGCAATCCAAGCCAAGCTTCAGGAGCTGGTTCTACCTGTGCCACTCCAGGGAGCCTCCCTTTTCCTGTGGGAGTCACATTTCCTGCCTGTTTGGAGGGAGGTGGAGAGAGGAAGGCAGTGAGTGTCTTGTTATGGTAATGGCACATCCCAGATGTAGGCAGACCAGGCTTTCCTTTAAACTAAAATTGGTTCCCCACAGGTTGTGTCCTTCTAATCTAAAGTAATGAAGTGGACATACACAAAGAATGTGTCCTCATAGGTACTTAAACCACCCGGCACAGAGGATCAGGTGCCACGTGAAGTTAGGGCATCACTGTCGACTTTAGGCATTTATAGACTGCTTTACAAATGGTACCTTTTGTATAATTTAGTCTGCATGAAAACATGGTGTAACGTATTTTAACTCCAGATGCCATTTGCATTTGGATTTTGTTAAAAGTCTTCATCTAAGTCAGGGGTGGGGAATTTTTTTTTTCTTTTTGAGGGCTATTTGGATATTGTCAGCATCATTCGTGGGCCATTAAAATCATCAGCTGGGGAGTCCTGCCTGCTGTTGGCTTGGCAGGGCGGATGGCCCCAGCCTGGTGTAAGACGTTTCAGTGGGTCTGCTTCTGCCTACCGCGTGCCTCCAGCTGATCGTCCTGAAGGGATCTCCTGCCCTGACGAGCCTGGAACAGTGCTCAGCCTCCACTCTGCCTTTGAGCCACCTGGGGGAGCCGCGGCCACGCAGGCGGGCCGGGCCTGAGGTGCTGCGTGTCTGGAAAGTTCCCCCATGTTGCAGTTACTGCGGGGGCAGGGACCACCCCTCAGCTTACAAGCCCACAAAATGGATGCTTTGTGGGTTGCTTGTAGCTTGTGCCCCACTGTTTCATCTCGAGAACCCGCATCCACGTCAGTGTTTTATTGCCGCATTAGGTCCAGGGGACGGAAATTCTGCGTAGTGAAAAGGTCGTGTTAAGTAGGCTGCTGGAGCATCTCCTCGGTGCCCCTCAGAGACTGGTGCCTTCTGGAATGTGGTTTCTGAAGAGTTCAGATCACAACCTGCTCCCCTTTTCCAGGAAAATTGAGACCCCAGGCCGGTGCCGCGGCTCACTAGGCTAATCCTCCGCCTTGCGGCACCGCCACACCGGGTTCTAGTCCCGGTCAGGGTGCCGGATTCTGTCCCGGTTGCCCCTCTTCCAGGCCAGCTCTCTGCTCTGGCCAGAGAGTGCAGTGGAGGATGGCCCAAGTGCTTGGGCCCTGCACCCCATGGGAGACCAGGAGAAGCGCCTGGCTCCTGCCATCGGATCAGCGCGGTGTGCCAGTCGCAGCGCGCCAGCCGCGGCGGCCATTGGAGGGTGAACCAACGGCAAAAGGAAGACCTTTCTCTCTCTCTCACTGTCCACTCTGCCTGTCCAAAAAAAAAAAAAAAAAGATACCCCAGAACAAGTCTCTCCCAGCCATAAGTGTGGTAGCAGAAAACAACAAAGATGCCAGTTTTACATACTACCAGCACCAGATGACAAAGCCTCTGTAGGGTTCTATTTGCCAGGATTGATGAGGTTTGTCGGACTGCAGAACATACAATGGCCAAGTGTCTTTTTCTGGCCTATGTTCATTTCAGAGGACACACAGAGTGACAGTTTGCGCTACCTTTGAGAGAATGGTCTTCCTTTTGCCGTTGGTTCACCTTCCAATGGCTGCCGCGGCTGGCGCATCACACTGATCAGGAGCCAGGTGCTTCTCCTGGTCTCCCATGCAGGTGCAGGGCCCAAGCACTTGGGCCATCCTCCACTGCACTCCCGGGCCACAGCAGAGAGCTGGCCTGGAAGAGGGGCAACCAGGACAGAATCTGACGCCCCGACCGGGACTAGAACCATGGTGCCGGCACCGCAGGCGGAGGATTAGCCTATTGAGCCACAGCGCTGGCCCAGAAGGGATTCTTGTTGGTCAAGGGAAAGAAGCTGAAGACCCTAAGACCATGGCGGGGTGAGGGAGATGGCTCCCAGGCCAGCATTGGTTCAGTTTCCTGGTTCTGCTCCAGCGTTGCCTATACCGGGCACTATGTTAAATCAAGTGAAATGGCAAAGGCTTACAACATCAAGTTACCCAGGATCCGTTTCATAATGGCAATTCTAAAAACAAGAGAATCGCCTCAAAACCGTCCCCTCTCCACGTTACACAGCTAACAGATTTCTAGGCCACGTTTCTAAAGAAGAAAGCGAAACACTAAATTTCTCCAAGCTGTTAATTATATGTGGGCTTTTCGATGCGTCACAGCAAATCTTGGTCCTGGCCTTTTTAACACCACTTTGGTTGTCCCTGTACCTACCCTTTTTGGTTTGTAGCTTTTGTGGCCTCAGAACAGGAAGTCCATGTGAGGTCCCCAGCCGTGTGCGACAGCAGCTTTGGTTGGGAAACCTAAATTTTAAATCAAATCTAAATTCAATCGTAAACTCAGTCCCTGGCCTCCCATGTATTCAGTCGCTGACTCACCCGTTGCCATGGGCAAGTTACTTTGCTTTGAGACCGGTTGCTTGGTCAGATGAGAATACAAGTTAGTGAAATACGTGAGCACTGGTGATTTCTCAGGAGAAAGCTGTAGTTGTTAAAATGCTGTTCCAACTACTGCTTCCTCTTTTATCAGCGGTCAGTATTTTGGGAGAGTTTAAGTTGTCAGAAGTTGTGATGTGGCCATTTTTTCTGAGAGCCCCCCCGATCCCGTGTTCCATGGAGGCTGTAGGTCACGCAGCACCGTGACACTGGGCTCATTTCCAGGACTTGAGGGCAGGTCTCTTCCCTGTGCTGAAACTGATCTGGTAGGTTTTCTGACTTGAGCCGGAGGCCTGTCTTTGTGCATGCTGATTGTTAAAGAAAATGCCTTAATGTTAAATAAAATGCCTTACAAAGATTGCAGTTGCATCTTATGTGGGATTAAGTAAGCAGAGAAATACAGTTAGCCTGGAAAAACCCTTCGGTCCCCTCTGTAGCTAGCGCAGTAGGGGTGCGTGTGTGAGTCAGCAGCTAGAAAGAATTCTCATGCCGTGAGCTTCACTAGAGGAACACACACAGTGCGGAGATAGCGTGAGTGTGACTTGCAGGGTGAGGCTGGGTTTTTATTTTGGGCCCAGCCTTTGGTGTAATCCCTTTGTCCTGGGCAGGACCCCTGGCACGTAGCTGTTAATGATGTCGATGATGCTGAGGGCACCCCGACAGTCACTTCCTACCTGATTGGCCCGTGCTTTCCCCGCACCAGGTGCCCCACAGAGCCTTTGGTATGTGGTCATGGGTGGAACAGGAGGCCATTTGGAAGGGCAGTGTTTGGAGGGAGCTGCCACCCTTCCATGGGAGCGGGCTGTCGTCCCTCACTGCCAGCACCCAGGCCAGGGGATTAATGTGAGAAAAATGAGAAAACCAGCTCAGGGAAGATAGGTGTGGAGGGCACCTAAGTGGACCGTTGCTCACTTGGTGTGGCGTGGGTGCCAGCATGGGCCGTGTTGGCAGAATGCACAGTGTGCTCCCGGGGTTGAAGTGTCCCTCCACGGCAGTGAGAGCAGCTTAGCTCTGCTGGGCCCGTTCCGGCGTAGCTCTGCCTCCTGTGCTCTTGTTCATTAGTCTAGTCTAGGGCTTTCTGGTTGGTTGGGTTTCGTTGGTAGTTTGATTTTGCCTCTTTTTTCTCCATGGTTTGGTTGAGTTTCGCCTGTGTATCTTGTGCTCTCTGAAGAATGCCAGCCACCGATGACTGAGTTCAGAATCGGCAGGTTTAACTAACAAGGGGCAGTGTCCACCTAGAGATCGAGCCCAACCTTTTGTTCCTAAATATGAATCCTTTGTCTCCGCATAAGTGGCAAAGCCTGGTCCTGGCTTCCCTGCCCCCTTGCATCCCAGCTCCCCGCTCTGGGCCTTTTAGGGTGTGTGATACTCATCTGGGGCTTTATTGGTGTGTTTGGTGCGTTGTTTATTTTGGCTTCCCGATTTGAACGTCTCTTCTTTCCCCTTCACCCCTTTCCAGATGTCCCCTAGCTGTGCTGACCTCTGCACTGTGTAGTGTTGTCATCTGGTGGATTGTGTGTGACTACATTCTTCCCGTCCTGCTGTTCTGTCTCGATGGTTTCAGAACACAGTAGCCTTGAGGACCCCTTGCAGAGAGCTGCTGTGTAAGTGTCCCGTTCGTGCCCCTCCCGCCGCTCTCTCCTGGTTTCCCACGTGGTCCTCCCCGGTGCATGTCCCTCCCCTGGCGGCTCTCTTGGCTTTGTTGGTTTGCCTATTTTCTAAGGTTCTTTTTCTGAAACTTTGCCGTGAATGGGTTGGTGGCGGGGAGGGGAGGCCTCATTGTTTCTTTCACAGAAGGGATATTGAAGGCAGCTTACCTTGTTTTTATCTGTGCTTGCTTTTGGCAGACGTTGTGAAATAGCAGTTTATAAGTAAAGACACTGGAGCAATTTCTCTTCACTGTAGAAGACGTTCAGTTAGCTTGGTCAGTCGGGCAGTGACCGCCCTCTAGTTTTGTGTACCTTGAGTATGTCCTCTCCATTTCTAGAAAGAAAAAAAGTTTCCCCGCTCATCTTCTGCTCTCAGTAAATATTTGCTTTTGTGGCGCTACTGACCAGTGTGTTAGCCTGGCTTTCCACTGGACAGCAGCTCTCCCGAGTCCCCTCCTCCCGCCTGGGGGACACAGGCAGGGCTGTTCCACTGAGAAGGGGAAGCGCAGGGGAGATGAGTGTGCTGTCCACATCTGTGCCCCTGCTTGGCCCTCGCTCTGCTCCTGCTTTTGCGCTTGCCCCAGAGTAACCAGAAGGTCTTTTGACGTGAATAGAGGCCATTGTGACTTTTTTGAGATCTTTCATCCACAGAATGAGTGCCTTCTTACTCCACGGAACATCGTAGTTGAGACCAAAGGCAAAGAGCCGGCTCTGTATCCAGGTTGCGTCCTTTTGTTTTTCCTCTGAAGCTTTTTCTTTAACTCATTTTTCAAAAATGTCTTCTCTTGCCCCAACTTGATTTTGGAACTAACTAAAGAGTGCAGAAGTCCCTTCCGGGGACTCTTCCAAAGTAAGACTCCATTGCATCCACCTCTGGTACGTTGTGGTTTCATTGAGTGTTTTCCTTCCTAGGGCTGAGAAAGGTTTCAAAACTGAACAGATTCCACTTTTCAGTTAGGGAAACTTGCTTCATGTGTTCCCACTCGTGGCATATTCTTGACTGGCTTAGTAGCACAGGCCTATCCCGGCGTATTCACGTACGCTGTGCTTCTGATGTAATTTCACCTTTGAGGTTTTCTCCTGTCTCTTGGTAAGAGTCAGTTTTCACGTTTGCTGACTTGAGAGTGCTGTACTCTGCCGACATTCACTCTTCCCCAGGTATTCCCGGTGGCCGAGACCTTCCTAGCGGGCAGAGTGCAGCAGTGTCCACAGGTGCGCACCCCCCCCCCCTCTCCCCATTACTTTCCTTCAACCAGGCTTCATTTATGAAGCTGGCTGTTCTTGCACACCGTTGTTCACCTGTGCTGGCAGGTGAGGGAGCACTGTTTGGTGAGTTGTCACTATTTCCAGGAGTGCCTGGAGTGCTCGTCCGGAACAACCCTTGGCCTTGCTGTGTGAGGCGTCCAGGCCCATTCTCCTGAGAGTTTTTTATTAGTGGGGACAGCATAGATAGTGCAGAGGTGCCCTGATGGCTTCTTTACTTGGAATGGAGCATTCAGGCGTGTTGTATCTTGGTAGATGAGACTTGGCTTTTCAGTGTTTACTTTGCTTAAGCTGCAGATACCACTGCATGTAAAATCTGGGAGTCCTGAGGCCCTAAAGATACAAAAGAGTATACGGTGACCAAGCCTGGAGATAAGTAGGACTGACGGAAAGACAGGAGGGAGACAAGTACGTGTGCTGAAGTTTGCTCAGCAAGGAATGAAAGGGTGACTGTTCCACTGTTGTCAGCTGCGTGCGTCTCATCAGGCTGTCAGTGTGATTTGCAGGTGCAGTGGCTGGGGTTTTTCCCCTTTGTTGACGCAGGCCATAGGTGTGATGACTGCCTGTTCTTAGTGCAGAATCATAGCAGCCTACCCAGTATGATTGACACACTCTGAATTTCTTCCATTCTCTTGGTTTCAAAGCTCTGCATATATCATTAGTGGATAAGATTACTTAGTTCACGTTAATTTATGCTAATTTTTACAGAGAAAGAAATAGGTTGAAAAGATGCTTCCCATCAGCATAAGAATGGAACACTACAGCAGTGCTCCTGATTTTTTTTTAAAAAGATTGATTTTGTTTATTTGAAAGGCAGAGTTAGAGGCAGAGGCAAAGAGAGAGAGGTCTTCATCTGCTGGTTGCAATGGCCAGTGCTGGGCTGATCCAAAGCCAGGCCTCAGGAGCTTCCTCCGGTCTCCCATTTGGGTGCAGGGTCCCAAGGACTTGGGCCATGTTCTATTGCTTTCCCAGGCCATAGCAGAAAGCTGGATCGGAAGTGGAGCAGCCGGGACTCATATGGGATTTTGGCACTGCAGGCGGCAGCTTTACCTGCTGCGCCATAATGCCAGCCCCTCCATTAGTGGTGAATCTGACAAGTGAGACCGTTGGTCCCCCAAGTAGGCAATGTGCTGTCACTTGTTTTTCCTCCTGTTAGTGATTTTACAGCGTGGTGCTCAGCTGTACTTTTTGGCCATCACTGGCCTCAAATTCTTGTAAGAGTATTGCTTCCTCCATTTGTGGTCTCTGGAGGAGCTGGGGGTGCATCAGCCGTTTGTTTGGTGCAGAATTCTACGTTCAGATCCCAGACAGGGAGGAATAAATGGTTCCCCCTCACTTTGCCGCAGCAGACCAGACGTCTCAGCAAATCCTTCTTTTAAGGAGAAGCGACCACGTCTGCATATACTTTCTCTGTTCTGTTAGGACAGCCCATGTGTGCAGTGACCATACTTGCTGAGAAACATGCAGTCAGGGGTTGGCTGAGGGAGTTAGCCCAGGGGCCAGCAGCCCCTGCCCTTCCCTTCTGCCTCGCCCAGCTGCAGGTTTCACTGGCACAGTAAAGCTGGCCACTCTTCTGGTGACGAAGGGAGCATTTTACTACACGCTGGACGTCCTGGGTTTGGGTACCACTACAGTGCCAAGATTTACTCCTTGTTACTACATTTTAATGACCTGGCGTTGGTTGTTAAGTACCACGGGGGTGACACAGGTGGATGAGATGGAACTGCTTGTTCATGAAGGCCGTGTCTCCTTTATGTCCGAGTATGGGAGGATAAGTCACAGTTGATGCTTGTAAACATGTGTGTGAGTGGCTCTGTTTTTCAGTGATGATCCCTTCAAGAAAGGAACAGCATGTGACAAGTTGGATATTTTTTCCCCCTGTTTTCCCTAAAGCATTTAATCAGGAAAGCCCAGAGACCTCTGTTTATGAGCAGTGGTCTGTGTGCCTCTACCCGAGGCTGTTCCTTACTCTCTGATAACTGGCCTCCTGGGCAGTCTGTCTGTGCCCATGAGGCATCAGTCAGTTCCATAAAATTGATGAGAGTTTAAGGCAAGTTTCTCCAAATTCTAATGGCTTCACTTTGATTTTAAATGGCTCTTGGAGATTAGTAAGTGGTTACAATCCAGACAAACCTTGAATTTTTCTTGAACAGACTTAACATTTTTGTAACTCTCATGAAAATAATACCGACTGATTGCCCATATCGTCGGTTCTGAGGAGTGCACGTGGTGTAGGTGTTCCCCGAGTTAGCTGCATATTCTTAAGGGCTTGGGGCTCCCTAACGATGGATTGTTTTTATGACTAGAAACGTGAGGCTCTCCTTGTACTTTGCGGCCCAGAGCTTTACCAGGCTGGCGGTTTCCTTCAGTATGGGGATTTCCCAAAATGGAGCACCCCGGCTGTCTCCGTGTGACCCTCACCAGGCCTGGCTGTGAAAATGTGTTCCCGGAAGATATGTCGATGGGAAAAGCCTGATACATTCTCAACCAGCAGTGTGCACTCAAGTGTCCTCCCTGTCGGGTGTTCGACGTTGTTTTGGTGACTGTAATCCTGTTTTTTCCCACTGTTTCCAGAGTAATTCTGCAGTCCAGTGTTCAGAGCTGTAAAACGTCTGAACCTGACGCTTCTGGCAGTGCAGGCATTACTCACAGAACCACCAGGTCTGCTTCAAGGAAAAGCAGTTTTAAAAGGTGAGAAAAGGTCCCACTCTCCTGACGCGTTCCAGGCGTTGCTTTTCCAGTTTAACCCTCTGGTTCCTGCTTCTGGAGATGGACGTGCGGACGGGAGGCGGCAGAGTCCCTGGGAACCAGGACTTAACCAGCTGTGTTTTCCCTTGTCCATCATCTGAGAAAGTCTGGAGCGTTTGAGTGTAGGCTTTTGCTCTGTTCTGTTGTATAGACGTAATTCTCCAGGGCATGGCACAGGAGAGTTGAGAGGTTTTCATTAAGGGTTTCCCCAGCTCTGTCAGGACTCAGCAGGGGTCTCTCTGTCAATCACCCAGCAAATGAATTGCTGGAGAATGTGCAGCAGAGGAGTGTGCTGGTGGCCGTGTTGAGAGCCTTCTTGACCTAAGAGTTCTCTGCTCATGCCCGAAGGCACCAGAAGATGAACATGCGCTGAGGCCAGGGACTCACCTGTTGTCTCTGGCTGCTCACCAGGAGCCCAGGGTGGACATTTCAGTTTCCAGGCACTCCAACAGCAGGTCCTTTGGAGGGCAGAGGGAATCGGCCGTGGAAGGTGGGGACCCCCTCTCCTGTTTCGTGCATCTCTGTGTGGCATTGGCAGCCCAGGCAGCCCTGTGTTTGCACTCGGGGTCCGACCGATCTCTAGACGTTTGCCACACACCACCTGAAGAGTGAGACCCAGAATCCAGTCATCCCTGGCAGTTTCCCTCCTGCTTTTCCATTTCTCCGCCCTGTGTCTTGGAGGCTTCAGGCCCGCGGGCCCCAGGGGCAGGTGCACAGAGGAGCTCCTTGGGCCGTGTGTGTAAGGAGTGGGTCAGATCTATCCCTTTCTCTCTTTGCCGATCCTTTCTTTGTAGGGTGTTCCTGCACACTTACACTCAGCTGGGCATGAGACGACTGAGCACAAGCATTAGAGAGTTGTCATGCGCTCTGACTCATGATTTTAGGATTTTAAAATTTTTTGTTAGGAATGTATCATACATTCATACCCTTTTTTAAATTTTTTTTTTATTTGACAGATAGAGTTAGACAGTGAGAGAGACAGAGAGAAGGGTCTTCCTTCCGTTGGTTCACCCCCCAAATGGCTGCTATGGCCAGGGCTGTGCCGATCCAAAGCCAGGAGCTGGGTACTTCCTCCCGGTCTCCCATGTGGGTGCAGGGCCCAAGCACCTGGGCCATCCTCCACTGCCCTCCCGGGCCACAGCAGAGAGCTAGACTGGAAGAGGAGCAACCGGGTCAGAATCCGGCGCCCATATGGGATGCCCGGCGCACCATAGGCAGAGGATTAACCAAGTGAGCCATGCCACCGGCCCTCATACCCCGCCCCCCTTTTTTTTTAAAGATTTATTTATTTATTTGAAAGAGTTACACAGAGAAAGAAAGAGAGGCGGGAGGAGGGGTCTTCCATCTGCTGGTTGACTCCCCAGTTGGCCGCAGCGGCTGGAGCTGTGCCGATCAGGAGCCAGGAGCCAGGTCTCCCATGTGGGTTCAGGGGCCCAAGGACTTGGGCCATCTTCTACTGCTTTCTCAGGCCATAGCAGAGAGCTGGATGGGAAGTGGAGCAGCTGGGTCTTGAACCAGCACCCATATGGGATGTCGGCACTGCAGGCAGCGGCTTTTATCCACTAAGCCACAGCGCAAGCCCCGTTCATACCTTTTTTACTCCGATTGCACTTGAGAAGAACATTGTAGGAATACTGACAAAACATCAAAGTTACAACATCAGAATGCTCTTCCTACAGTGAGACATAGGAATTGGGCTACAGATGGTTAAATTGTGGCAAATGAATTGGAAGTCATGTTTTTAAAGAAAATTAAGGAACTTAGATAATGTTCACCAGGCAGTAAGTTATAAGGAACCACACATAAACATTCAGAAATAATACTTTATTCTATTAACATAATTTATACCGTTATAGATGTATACAAATAAGAATAAAGAAAAATAAACTATAATGATAACACTTCTCACTTCTGATTGGTAGGAAAGTTAGGGGGAGGTTTTTTTTTTTTTGGTTTTTTTTTTTTTTAGGATTTATTTATTTTACTTGAAAGTCACAGTTACACAGAGAGAGGAGAGGCAGAGAGAGGTGTTCCATCTGCTGGTCTACTCCCCAGATGGCCACAACAGCCAGAGCTGCACTGATCCAAAGCCAGGAGCCAGGAGCATCTTCTGAGTCTCCCATGTGGGTGCAGGGGCCCAAGGACTTGGGCCATCTTCTACTGCTTTCCCAGGCCACAGCAGAGAGCTGGATTGGAAGTGGAGCAGCCTGGTCTCAAACTGGCTCCCATATGGGATGCGGGCACCGCAGGCAGTGGCTTTACCTGCTACACCACAGGAGGTCTTTTTTATGATTTATTTTCTAATTATAATGGGGAAAATGATATTTTTTGTTTTTTAGCACTGGCATTTTCAGGTGAGTAGGAATACTAAAAATTCAAACACCAGGTCACTGTGCCCTGGGTTGAATGGATCTAAGTGCTCAGGCCTTCATTGCAGCCTGCTGTCTTGCACACTTAATGCCACTTTTACTTTCTTGGATTGTGCTTTCCTGTTACAGAGGAAGAGAGCCCACGAGCCTGGAGGCAGCTTCCTGAGCCATGCCTCAGTGCTCTGAGGGGAGTTGGCCACGCATCAGTTCGTGCACATAGGTTTTTGTGGGGTTTTTTTGTGTGTCACTCCAGCGACCTAAACCGATCACACAGAGCCCCTGGATGGAAGGCTTGGAGGACCTAGATTGGGTTTCACACTGGATAAGCAGGTTGGAATGTTGAGATGGCCCACGGCCGTTTCCGGAATTTTAGAAAGTGCCAAAAACTATATATATATTTATATTTATATTTAAATTCCACGTTGGACCCTGAGCGATGATTTGCAGAGCCAAGGAGTGAAGTGGGCTGGTCCTTTACCACCTTGTCCTATGCAGGGTTTCCATTTCAGTTTTGTTTGGTCTCAGAGCTTTGGCCTGTGTTGGTATCACGTGTTACTCCTACAGCTGATCCAAGGGAAGTAGATGACTGATGGTCCCCCTCCTGCCTCTAGGGCCTAAGGAGAATTGAGGACAGCCAGGCTACAGCCTCGCGCTCTTGTCCTGCTGACTGCTACTCATTGTTACTGGAGGGTAACAAGGGAGTTCACATGTTGTTGCATCATCTGAGTCAGGGGAAAAGAGTCTGAGCTAAAAGTGCTGAGCAATTGCAAGTCCTGCATCGTAATTGTTTCTTTAAACAGCAATACTTAGAAAGAAAACGCCGCACAGATTTTCAGTGCATTTTCACCTGAAGCTGCAGGGCGCAGGGGCCGCCCGCGGCTCTGTGACCCTGGCTGAGGCGCTCTCTGTTGCAGGTTGGTTTCTTGTCCGTCTCCATCGTCTCTGGTGCTAAGAGCTTGACCTTGGCCATGACCTTTCACTACCTGTTCTGCTCTGTTCTTAGAGGCTCCCGGATGAGGACCCCAGCTAGACTCCCGTTGCCCCGAGCTGCCCCTCTATTCCGGACAGTTTGTTGAGAGGCTCTTGGCCTTAGGAGAACGTTTTCACAGACAGAAGAATCGTGACTTGGGGCAGAGGAGCTGACGAAATACGAATGCTGTTGTCCAAAAAATTCATGGAAAATGGAATCTGAAGATGTCTGAGTGGATTTAAAAATTTTTTTTTGCACCAAAATTTAGTTTCATTTTCCATGACATTTTCGCAGTGCCCCCTTGTGTTTCCTGTGACAGATGGTTATTGCTCATGTGTCCAGTGGACATAGGCACACCTAAACCTGAGAGCCTCAGTCCAGGCACAGCGAACCCCTAGATCAAGTGGCCTGGGGCGCAGACGAGACTGTGTGGCACCTCCTCCCGCTTGGAGCTGCAGGTCCGCTTGAAAATGTCTCTGTCAATGCCAGGGCGTCCAGCGAGCAGCTGGCGACACGGAGTTGGCCTGTGTTCCCGTGTTCTTGCATCGGCTCTCAGAGAGCTCTCCTGGAGTCGAGACCCCAGCAGCCGCCGCTCCTGGCCTTGCGCAGCTTCCGCTGAGCGCGTTTTCGTACGCGTGTGCCACGTGGTTCTCGGGGGGCCGTCTTTGCTTTCTTCCTTGCTCCATCCGCGTCCTGAGAACGTGACTTCTTTATTGTGAGTCGCATCCCTGGGAATCCTCACTCTCCACTGCAGGTGCCAAACCAGTCGTGGACGTCTGCTGGTTTGCTTTTTTTTTTTTTTCAACCAGTTCCTCACACTGCAGCAGGAGAGAGACACTCGGGTTGTCCCCTGCGCTTCTGAGCCCAGCTGGCTTGACCGCTTTGTGAGTCTTCTCGCCCGCAGCTCTCGCCACGTCACACCTGTCACCGTGCCTCCTGGTCCTGGGTGGATCGCAGTGCCTGTGCCGCTGCCTCTGGGCCTTTAATTTTTTTTGTTGTTGTGGTTCTTCTGCCAACTCCAAAAGCACATTCGTGTGGGAGTCCCAGAATGTGTTCTCTCTGAATGGGCCTTTGATAAGTGCTGGTTCTTGCTGATCTTTTGAAACATTAATGTGCCTTTGAAATTCCAGCTGTCTTGCCCTTGGCTGCACCCGCTGACTCGTACCTTCTCACTCGGGGCTCTCTTGGGGTGGCTGGACACTGACCGATGATGGTTTTTGTGGGAGGGTTCCTCCAGACTGGAAGTGGTTTTTCTCACTCTGCTTTTGCCTTTTTCCTCTGAAAGCTGCCGTAGAGCTGCGGGTGTAACATCCTAAACGGGGTGATGGGGAGAGTGGGGGAGGGCGGGGGAGAGTCGGGAGCAGGACGGGGCTCCTTGGATATCCTCGCCTGGGCCGTGGCCTGGCAGACAGGCCGGCCAGAGCCTTCCTCTGAGCGGACCCTGCCTTTTGGGATCGCCCAGTAACCCTTCCTTATCCTCTCGTTCTTTCCACTTTTCCCACAGCCTGGTTCCGCAGAGGGGCAGAAGGAAAAGGAGTGCTTTGCGACCAATGCCCTTGACGGCATTCTGGTACTGGCCTTGCTGTGCCGCCCGCGCCCTCCTGTCTGTCCATTTCTGTGTCTCTCTTCTCATTGTGTTGATTTATTTGTTTACAGAGCTGAGCCTTTTCTCTGCCCTTCCTCTCCTGTTTGTCTTTACTTTCTGGTTGACATCGTCCTGTCTCCTCCACAGTATTTGTCATTGAACGGTTCCACACAGTGTAGACTTCCTAGCATGTCGATATTTTTATTATGTCGCCTTCCTTGTCTCGGGTGGCTGCCTCTGGGACTCTCCCCCAACCTCCGTGGTAAAATCCTTTCTCTCCTTTCCTCCCTCAGTCCCTCCGTTTCAAGGACTAAAGCAGTCCTGCGTTAAGTCAAACCTGTGGCCCGAACAGAAGGAAGAGTCCGGGCACCGCAGGCTGCGACCAGACTTAGCACAATTTACACCCGAACAAAACGCAGAATTGCAACAGCCTTAGTTGCTTTCCACCTAAGAAGTCGATTTCAGTGAAGACACCGTGCACTGGAGTTGGATCCATAACTCCCCCACGTTGGGGTGCGAGCGGACGCCTTGAAGAAGGGCCCAGCTCTGTAGAGCAGGCTCATGTTGAACCACAGAAAAGCTGTCATAAATGTAGTCTCAGGTGTGAATCCCCAGGCCCTCTGTTGTGCAGGGAGCTGCCCCGCCGGTGAGGTGCAGGTGCGTGCTGGCCGGAGGCTGCCGTGCAGGTTCCTCGTGTATTTATTTTCTGTTCACCCCGTGGCCCCGTGTCCACATTCCTGAAGACGAAACGGTACTTCCTGTCATGGGACACGATTCGGTTTGCGCGTCCTCACCTTACCCTCGGTTAATAGTGTTGGGTGGTTACTCTGTGAAGTACCCACACTGCTTGTCTCCCACCAAAGAGTGCTTTATTAACGTGTCTGTGGAAACCAGATGTGCACCCGGGACGCGCGTCGTACAGAGCAGTCCTCTGCCAGCCCACAGCGCGCAGACTCGGAGGCGAAGCCGGCTCTGGCTGGAAGATGGTTGCAAGCCATTCCTTTTTATGTCACGCAGGAACTGACGGAGCACAAGGCTACCCTTTCTTTGGTTGCCCTTCAAATCATGTTTCCTTCCGTGCATAAAAAAGAAAAGCACCCACGCTATTGGGTTCCGCGCTTGGAAAGAGCAGTCCTGAACAGTAGTGGCTTTCAAAACAAAACAGAACATAAGACGTTGATGCCTTTGAAAATTTAGTCTTTCTCCGTGACAGCGTGGAATGTTTTCTCCTGGGAGCTGCCCGAGGCTGCCCGCACACCCTTGTGGTGAGAGAACTCACTGTTGCCTTGGGTTCGGGAATCCGCCGGGAACTCCAAGCAGAGTGCCTTCTGCCCTCAGCCCCTGACACGCAGCAGGGCTGTGACATCAAGCAATCGCACAACTCCAGTTTATTTGCTGCTAAAAAAAAAAACCACCGGGGTCCCTACCGCAGGAACGTTCTGCAGTCGCCTTGGGTGCTGCTGGACGAAGGAGTGTTGGTTTTAGTTCCTGGGAAACAGCTCCTGCCTGCCCCGGGCTGGAGCGTGAGGGATGCACTGTTGAAAGGCAGCGGAGAGGCAAAAGGCAGGATGAATGTCCAGGCCGAGCAAGGCCGTTCCGTTTATAAAGCTGCCTTTGCCACAGAGCTATTAGGAGTAAGAAGTGGTTGGGATGAGCAGGTTAGTCTTAACACAGCCGGTCATGGCCAGGCGGTGGCTACGTCTCGGCGCTGCTCCCATGGGTAGCAGGCGGATTGCTGGACATGGCCAGCGTCTTAGCCTGGCAGGTGCCCTTTCTCCACTGCTGGCTCTCAGGTCACAGAACAGCAGTGGTTCTGTGTCCTTAGAAACCAGCAGGTGTAAGGTTTGGGTGGGAGGAGGAACCTCCCACTCGCTGTGTTGTGCCAAGAGGTGATGCCAAGTATCCAGACTGTTCCAAGCATGAAACATGGAATTCTCAGGGCACCTTTCTTCCCTTACTCCTGTCAGGGCCGTCCCCTCCTCACGTGACCCAGGGAGCGAGGAAGGCCCAGCTCCCCCATCCCCCACCCACCCCCGTAATCCTTCTGGATTTGGCTTTGTGTCCATTGGAACCAGGCCACAGGCTACTCGGGCTTGGCCAAGAGTGGGACGTTAGGGCTTCGCTGTTTACTGTGTCACTTTTGTATTGCATAGTTGCCTTCTTGTGTTCCCAGCTAGCACCGCCATCACTGTGCCCTGCTAGGAAAGCCTTGTAGTGGCTTTGCTTGCCGGAGACTGGGGAGGCGGTCGGGAAGCCTTCCCGGGAGCGCCGGGTGGCCGATCGCACAGCAGCGGGCACACTTTGACTAGGGCCGTGGTTGGAGTCCAGGGAGGCTCTGAATCCGAGCTGTGGAAGGGTCTTCCTGCCACGAAGAAGAGCAGACCCTCCCTCACCCAGGGGGAACCCTGGAACACCCCGCAGCTTCTGAGGTTCTCACATGGAGTCCTTGTCGCGCCTGTCAGACCCGCAGGTGCCCCCGACCCTTTGCAGTGGGTTAAATCATCAGTGCGCCCTTGAAGCTCTGGGAGACTCAAGTCCTCAGAGCCAGGGACGGCCCAGGGGACGGGTGTCTGCAAAGCTGGACTCCCAGGTCTCTGTCGTGCAGCGCCCGTGGCCCGCAGGCCCTTCCCACGAAGCTGTCCGAGGCCCTAGGGTCCAGCAGGGAGCTCCCCGGTGCAGTGTGGCTGGTCCCCAGCTCCCCAGAAGGCTTCAGCCTCCTCTGCCCACCCCCTCCCTGGGGGATTTCTACCTCTTTGGGTCCTGCAAGGGTGAGAGGAGTCCCGAGCATCCCCGGGACTCCTGGCACCTTCCCTTCGCCTGCGCCACCCGTCTTGACAAATGGGCAATGCACTGTGTCGCTGTGTATTCCAGAAATATCACCACCGCTTGTTCTCATGCATTTTTTAAAGAAACCGTGATTGCGCTTTGGAAAGCAGTGGCGCATCGCGAACGACCTTGAACCGCTTTGCCCCTTCCTCGTTGTGTCCCGCTGAAGCCGTCCTGGGGGGCGGGGGGAGCTGCCCGCTGCTCCTGATGCCCCGCCTGCCTCTCTGCAGAAGCACTGCGGAGTGCCCCGTGACTGGACAGCTGGCCTAGACTGTGCAGGAAGTTACCTCCTTACTTACCCAGTCAAGTTCACTGTCAGCAGACACGGTCCTCTGACAAGAGTACTGCGGTTTTATACAGATAATTTGCAGACTTTTATCTAATGTGCACTCGTGTACAGATATTAAAAGTTTTAAGATGTAACTGAGTAATCAGTATTTGATCGTCTTGATTTTTTTATCAAAATGTATATTTCTAATGCTATTTTTTAAAGCTGAGAGAACTGGCTGGGTGGATGTTTTATTTTCCTGAAGGTATTTTTAAGATAAAGCTTCACAATGGCTGTGATCTCTGCAGATACATGTAGTTTGATACATATTGTTGCATTTGGAAATCTTGCGTATTGTTACCCAGTTTTATATAAAATGTTGAATAGTGGGAATTGTATAATTACAACTGTGTCATTAAAAGGATTAACCGAGCAGCCTTTGGTTTGGTGCATTTCCTTCTGGAGCGGTCTGGGCTAGGGCAGGTGGTGGGGACCACGCCAAGCAGAGGGAGCCGTCCTCTGCTGGTTCCCCGGCTGCCCTGGTGGAAGACCGCAGGCCCAGCGCCTCAGATGGAAGCTCACTCCCCACCGCCACCCATGTGCTGTGTCCTGAGGCCGACGCCTCCTCTCTGATGGACATGGCCTTTGTCCACCTACCCAGGAGTTTGGAGTGGAGTAGGGTCCACCTGGCGGCCTCATTCCACCTATATGCCCAGCCGAGGCGTCAGCATTTGGCTCTGGGAGGCTGTAAGGTGAGGCGGGGAGGGCAAAGGGCAGTGCAGTGGGTTGTGGGGTGCGGCCTCTTTCCTGTCTTCCCTCCAGGAGGTCTGGTGCTGACCCAGCCCTGAGACCCAGTGCTCTCTCCTCTCACGGAGGCTGTGTTGGGCTCAGGACTTTGTTCTTCCTGTTCACACTCCAGGGGAGCTGGGCTTTGCTCTCCCGAGCTCCTGCACTCCCCCAGTGGGGTGGCTGCCAGCTTGGCCCCTTGAAAGTGGCAGCACCTACCCACCCCTCAGTGGCTTCCCCCAAGGCTGTGCCCTGCACCCTGCCCACCTGCTGAGCCACCAGCTCCTGTCTGTGGGTGGTGGGATGGACCAGCATGGTGCCAGGGTCAACAGGTGGGACTTCCTCACCACAGGGGGAGGGGCTACGTGGTGAGCTGCCACAGAGGCCCCTGGCCTTGGGGGCCCCTGCACTGTCATCTGGAGCCACACTGGCCAGTGCCCATCTCCCATTCTAGCAACTTGTTGGCCCCTTTGTGTCCGAAGTAAAATGTGAATAAAAAGAACCGCCGCGTTAGCAGTCTTGTGTGGGAATTAAGGGAGGTGATAGATGCAGTGTGCTAACAAACCGTATCAGGCACAGAGCTGTCAGTAGTTGCCTGTCCTGCTTTCTAACCCGCTGTAGATAACCGGGTTAAAGACAGACTTTCGATAGCAGGTTATAGTCCGAGTGTGTGCTACCTTTGACACAATTCTGTGCACCTGTCCCAGCGTAACCTGCCATGACTTGACGGGCAGGAGAGTGTGCCCTCATTCGGGCTTGGCTGGTAGACAGGGGTCACCGGTGGGGAGGCCCCTTAGTGATGCCACAGCAGGTGACAGGTGGTGGGACCAGGTTCCAGGGATGTGCTTCCTAGCCTGGTCCTGCCGCTCGGTCTGCGGCTCTGGGGTTCCTGTACCTGCCTCCCAAGCATGCCTGGCAGAATGGTAAGTGCGTGCCGTGTGGATGAAAAGCATGGCCTCCATGCTGCTGTGCAGGACGCCGCCTGCTCTGCCGTTTTCCCTTCTGCATGCCCAGGCACAGCTGTGGGTGCTGGAAGGCAGCACGTGGGGAGGGATTCCCGCCCAGTGCACCCACGGCCTCCCCAGGTTCTGCCGTGACTTGGTGCTGGCCGTGGAGGGTGTGAATTCTAGCAATGCCGATCACGCCCTTGGCAAAGGAGCCCGTGGGCCATAGTTGGGCGACTTTCTCAGGTCTTGCTGTCCGCTGCCTCCAAGGGCACGCTGGGATACCTGTGTGGAGCAGGGATGCGGGGCCTGGCCTGCTGGGGTGTGGGCCATGGCACCGCGGCTCACTGCTCTGTGGGTTGGGTCAAGTGCACAGTGAACTACCTCCAGGATCACTGAGGTAGTGTTGGTGGATTTTTTTAATAGTGCTTATTTATTTTTAAGATGTATTTATTATATTTGAAAGTCAGAGTTACACAGAGAGGAGAGGCAGAGAGAGAGGTCTTCATCCACTGGTTCACTCCCCAATTGGCCGCAACAGCCGGAGCTGCGCCAATCCGGAGCCAGGAGCCAGGAGCTTCTTCCGGGTCTCCCACGCAGGTGCAGGGGCCCAAGCACTTGGTTCATCTTCCACTGCTTTCCCAAGCCATAGCAGAGAGCTGGATCGGAAGTGGAGCAGCTGGGGCTTCAACCGGCACCCATGTGGGATGCCGGCACTGCAGGCGGCAGCTTTACCCGCTAAGTGAATTACTTAGCTAGTGCACCTGGAAGGGCAGCAGCAGATGGCCCAAGTCCTGCCACAGAACCCGGCTGTTGCAGCCATTTGGGGAGTGAACCAGCGGATGGAAGACACCTCTCTCCTCTCTCTTTTTCCCTCTAACTCAGATTAAAAAAAAAAAAGTGCTTGGCAGTTTCTGAGGGCTGCACGTGTTGTGTTAATAAAATAAACATAAAGTACTGCCATTAGAGTCTGCAGCAGGACTACAACAGTGCACACCACTCATTCTCCCTTCTTGGCTGTTGACAGTTTGTGACACCAGGGAGCTGGTTCATTAGTAGCAGGAGTGGGGCCCCAGTGCCATAGGTCATAGGTCACCATCACAGCCCTGATAGACAAAGGATCTTCAAAAAGTTCATGGAATTTTTTTTTTTTTTTTAACAGGCAGAGTGGACAGTGAGAGAGAGAGAAAGGTCTTCCTTTGCCGTTGGTTCACCCTCCAATGGCCGCTGCGGCCGGCGCGCTGCAGCCAGCACACGGCGCTGATCCGATGGCAGGAGCCAGGTGCTTCTCCTGGTCTCCCATGGGGTGCAGGGCCCAAGCACTTGGGCCATCCTCCACTGCACTCCCTGGCCACAGCAGAGAGCTGGCCTGGAAGAGGGGCAACCGGGACAGAATCTGGCGCCCCGACCGGGACTAGAACCCGGTGTGCCGGTGCCGTAAGGTGGAGGATTAGCTTAGTGAGCCCTGGCGCTGGCCTGGAAAGTTTATATTAAAGAAAAAAAAAGTGCCAGCATTTATAATTTTTTACACCCAAATAAGCATATTTTGTTTCTCCACAACTTTTTTTTTTTTTTAAGATGTATTTGAAAGACAAAGATCTGCTGGTTCACTCCCCAAGCAGCTGCAAGGGTCAGAGCTGAGCTAAGCCTAAGCCAGGAGCCCAGAGTTCCATCCTGGTCTCCCCATGTGGGCTCAGAGGCCCAAGCACTTAGGCCACCATCATCTGCTGTCTTCCTAGGCTCCTTAGCAAGAGCTGGATTGGAAGCAGAGCAGTCAGAACTCAAAATACAGCCTCACAGGCAGCTCCTTAGCCCACTGTGTCCCAGTGCTGGGTTCCACCACATTTTTTAAAATTAATTTGTTTATTTGAGAGCAGAGGAACAGACAGTGAGAGGGAGAGACAGAGATAAAGGTCTTCCTTCTGTCGGTTCACCCCCCATTTGGCTGCAATGGCCGGAGCTGTGCCTATCCAAAGCCAGGAGCCAGGAGCTTCTTCCTGGTCTCCCACACAGGTGCAGGGACCCAAGGACTTGGGCCATCCTGCACTGCCCTCCCAGGCCACAGCAGGGAGCTGGACTGGAAGAGGAGCAGCTGGGACTAGAACCGGCTACTATATGGGATGCCGGCGCCACAGGCGGAGGATTAACCTATTGTGCCACAGCGCCGGCCCCTCCACCACATTTTTAAAATATTTTTCTTATTTACGTGAGGGGTAGAGGTAGAGTTAGAGACAGACGGAGAGACAGAAGGGTCTTCCATCCACTGGTTCATTCCCCAAATGGCCACAGTGGCCAGAGCTGGGACAGTCAGGAGCTTCACCCGGGTCTCCCATGCAGGTGCAGGGGTGCAGGGGCCCAAGTATGTGGATCCTCTACTGCTTTCCCAGCCATAAGCAGAGAGCTAATTGGAAGAGGAGCAGCCAGGACCAAAACTAGCACCTATATGAGATGCGAGTGCTGCAGGTGGAAGCTTAGCCTACTATTTACCATATTTTTAAAAAAATGTATTTGGGCTTTTTGGTGCTGTGGCATGGTGGGTAGAGCCGCCACCTGCAGTGCCAGCATCCCATATGGGCGCTGGTTTGAGTCCCAGCTGCTCCACTTCCAATCCAGCTCTCTGCTGTGACCTGGGAAAGCAGTAGAAGATGGCCCAAGTCCTTGGGTCCCTGCACCTGTGTGGGAGACCCAGAAGAAGCTCCTGGCTCCTGGCTTTAGATTGACCTAGCTCCGGCCCTTGTGGCTATTTGGGGAGTGAACCTGTGGATGGAAGACCTCTCTTTTTTTCTCTCTCTCCTTCTTTATAACTCTTTCAAGTAAATAAATCTTAAAAAATATATTTGAAAGAATTAAGAGGGATGGAGCGATGGAGAGAGAGAGAGAGAGATCCTCTGTCTGCTGGTTCACACCCCAAGTGGCTGCAACAGCCAGGGCTGGGCCAGGCAGAAGCCAGGAGCTTCCTCTGCGTCTGCCACATGGGTGCAGGGGCCCAAGGCCTTGGCCTTTCCTCCTCTGCCTTCTCAGGAGCATTAGCAGGGAGCCGGGTTGAAAACAGCAGCCAGCATTCAGACTGGCACTCTGATGTGGAGGCCAGCGTCACGGGTGGCAGCTTAACGCGCTGGCCCGCCACGCCAGCCCTGCACTGCGTTTCTGAAGTGTCTACGCAGACCTGTCCTTCGGCTGCCCCCTTATTCAGACTTGGGACGGTGTGTCTTCCCGCTGGGTGTCACCGTCTGCTCCCTGTGTTACCGTCTCACCCTGGGGAGTGAGGCTGGTGTGGAGGTGGGGAGCGCTCCTTGCCACCGCCGCGCATGCGTGGCCGGCGTGCCCCGTCTCTGACTGTGTCTCATCTCTTTGCCAGCAAGTCTGCATGGCTTTGATGCGCTTCTGCAGGACGGGTGCACTGTCCACACCGAGATCCCCAGGTATGGAGGCCCCCGCCCGAGCCAGGGCCCGGCTGTGGGTGGGGAAGGGTGGAGCGGAGGGGCTGCGGGGCTGTGTGTGTCCCCAGGAGGAAGGGGACAGCTTTCCTGCTGGGTCGGTTCCTTCCAAAGGACTCCCGAGGATGCATCCCTGGCACCCGCCCACCCCTACTGTGTGTGTGACATTCCCAGCATGGCACAGTCCACGTGTCCACACACATTGTCACCCGCCATGGGGGCAGGGCCGCCCCTAGGACCGGAACCAACCAAATAAGGAGCACAGCTTTGCCTGGGCAGGTGCCTCATTCTGCTCGGGCAGGCAGAGGCAGAGGCCGGAGGGAGGGCGTGTACCCCCCGCCCCCAACAGCTCTGGCCCGTGCTGGGTCTACCCAGCAGTGAGCCAGGAGTTGGAGCAGGTGTAGCCAGGGGAAGCCAGGCCTTGCTGTGGCGGTGACCACGCCGCGTGTCCTCTTGCAGCGACGGCTGGCTGTCCCGTGCTGTCACCTTTCTAGACCGCCTTTTGATCTGGCTCGGCTTCAACAGGGACTAGGCCCCCCGGAGAAGATCCCTCTTCTGGAAGCCCGGCACTGCCTCCACTTAGACATTGTCTTCTGGTGCAATTGAAGCCTCTCGCCCCGGGCCCGTGCCCGGCTCTCGGCGAAGCAGTGTTTCTGCCTCCTTCCTTCCACGGGGGTTGGGGTTTCAGTGGCCTGGGGTGGCCAGGACTGGGAGGGGCTCCCTGGGAACTGCTCAACGCCAAACCCAGTTAGGGCAGTGCCTCTTGAACCTTTTTACTTTAAAAGTATTTATTTGAGGCCGGCGCCGCGGCTCACTAGGCTAATCCTCCGCCTTGCGGCGCCAGCACACCGGGTTCTAGTCCTGGTCGGGGCGCCGGATTCTGTCCCGGTTGCCCCTCTTCCAGGCCAGCTCTCTGCTGTGGCCTGGGAGTGCAGTGGAGGATGGCCCAAGTGCTTGGGCCCTGCACCCTATGGGAGACCAGGAGAAGCACCTGGCTCCCAGCTTCGGATCAGCGCGGTGTGCCGGCTGCAGCGCGCCGGCCGCGGCAGCCATTGGAGGGTGAACCAATGGCAAAAGGAAGACCTTTCTCTCTGTCTCTCTCTCTCTCACTGTCCACTCTGCCTGTCAAAAAAAAAAAAAAAGTATTTATTTGAGAGGCAGACAGGGAGAGAGTGAGCGAGCGAGTGCATCCTTCCACCCACTGGTTCAGTCTCCAGAACTTGGCCAGGCGGAGCTGGGGAGACTAGCAGGCGGGTGGCCAGGCACCCAGGTACTTGGTTGACCACCGGCTGCCTCCAGGATGCGTGGACAGGAAGCTGGGGCTGGTGGCCGAGCTGGGACAGCCCTGGCACTGTGGTGCAGGCTGGCCGGGGTCCCAGCAGCGTCCTCACCGCTGCCTCGCCTGCTGCTCCTGAGCTCAGGCGCCCTGGTGGAAGCTGAAGGCTCTCTGTGTCCCAAGGGAAGCTCATTGCCGAATTCCTGAAAAGTGCCTGGCCAGGCTCACCAGGACCCCGCTGGCTGTGCCCTGCCCCAGACGTGTGGCGCAGGTGTCTGGTGGCTCTGCTGGGCCCTTCCCAGGACCCCAGTTAAAGCCCCTCAGCAGGTCTCTGCTTGGCCCCCTGGCATTCCCATGCGAGCGCTGTCCAGTTTGCGTTGCTGAGCTGGGGCAGGACCCGCCTTGGAGACCTCAGCAGTTTTGCTTCTCGCTGTTGCTGACCCAAGGCCAGCAGCTAGGATCTGAGGGGCCCCCGGCTCCCTTGTTCAGGTTGGTCATCACGCCGCTCCAGGGAGGAGCCGTGCACACAGGTTCACGAGAGTCCAGCCTCAAGCTTGGGCAGTGCACAGCACAGGCCCCAGGGGGCGCCCGTGAGGTGTGGGGAGGGTGTCCCTGGGGCGGCCGGTGGGGTGGCTGTTCCCAAGAACGGTTTCACCTTGGCTCAGTTGAGACAGCCCAGAAGCCGCCTGGGGCGTCTGCCAGTCGAAGCCACCGCACTTTGACAGGACAGGGCTGCTGCCCCTGACAGCTCTGTGCTCCGCAAGTTAGGTAGGGCAGCGCTCGGGAACAGGGCACGTTCTTAGAAACAGTGCGTAGCAGGCAGGTGTCTCGGCTCTCCTGAGGTCCACCTCCCTCCCCGCGCAGGATCCCTTTGTCCCCTAGCTGTGGTCAGGGCCGTGACGGTCATGTTGAGTCAGAGGCACACCTGGTTCCCCACCGCTGCGTGCAGCACCTGTGAGGCTAGGCCTCAGGGTCAGTGTTAACTGCTACCGTCACCACGGCCCTGCACAAGCATCTCCTGGGGTGGGGGTGGGGGCTCCTTTGTCCCCTGTCCCTGCTCCCCAGCAGCTCTGCCTGAGACTAATTATTTAATGGGGCATTTCAAGAGTGTAGGAAGAACCCTGGGCTTGGGGACTGAATTTTTTCCACCCCATCTCATTCCATTCCTGCTGAAATCCTGGCTAGCGTGAGCAAAGGAGACCGGTGTCCTTGCTGTTAGCTGCCCTGTGGAACAAGGTGGCAAGCTTGCGTCCCTCAGTAGCCCAGGGTCACCTTCGGGCACGGGGTGGGGCCACGTGCAGGGGTCACACAGGTTGTCCAGGTAAAGGTAGAGCCACCATCTTGTATCGCCTTTTGTGTGGACAACTTCCCGGGGACTCAGGGGCCTGGGTTGGATGGTGGCTACAAGGAAACCATGTGTTTCACTTGAGTTTTATTTAGCAATAAAAAGGTTCTTAAACCGTCCTGCTGTCTACCTCGTCGCCTTTACCACTGACACACAGGCCCTGAGGGATGCCGTGGGAAGCCAATGAGCAGGGCGGAGGTGGCCCTGCCACTGGCCGCAGCTCGGTGGGGAGCAGGTGTTCGTCCCCGGAGCCCAGCTGCCCGCTGCACGGGCCACCACCGCCGGACGGCTGGAAGGGAGCATCTGCAGTGTGCGTGACGCCAGCAGGGCCAGCCCCGCCAGGAAGCTCACGACGCTCCCCAAAGCAGCCGTGCCGAGGGTCACACAGTTCCCTCCAGGAGCTGCCGGAGGCCGCCTCTTGGTTCGGGTCCCCACGCGGTCCTACCTGGGACACATTAACAACTTCCCTGCAGCAGTCAGGGTGTGGACAACCTAGAACACTCCAGAAAGGGCACAACAAAAGCCCTGCAGCCATTTGCCCCATGCACTGACAGGTGGCCTGGTGAGCAAGAAGAGCACGTGAGGCTCAGAGACTGTACCGCCCCCCCCCCCCCGTTTCTGACACGTGACTCTTAGGGTATGGTGTTTGGAAACTTAACATTGAATCCATGCGTTTCCCACGTGTTACTCATAACGCTACAGGGAAGTTCCTTAAACGGGGGCCCGCCTGGCCCATCTTCAGAGCCAGGCTGAGGCGAACGGACAGTGATGGCTTCACGCCCGCCAAGTGCCCACCCAGCCCTCACCGCCAACACCCACTTCTCCCCAGAGCTCTTCCATGAGGTTATCCACATCTGCCGCCTTTTCCCATGGAGAGAGAATAAAAGAATATTTTTAATATACCTTAGTACTTGGCTACCAACAAGAGATGAAGAGCCGGCTGTTGCCCGAGGCAAACACTCTTGACCGGGACCGCCTCTCGGACCCGGGGCCAGGCTCCGCCTCTCACCACGACGTGGTGTGCCCAGAAGGATTCAGTCTTCCACACATGAGTCAGGAGAGAATACCAACCTTTATTTGCACGTGGGTTCCAGTTCAAAGCCACCTTACAGTGGAGCAAGCAAAGTGGGGGACAGGGCAGACTGGGAGCAGGGGCCCGCGCCGTCGCAAGCGTGCAGCTGTGACGCAGGCAGGCGTCAGGGAAGCGGGCAGGCATCGGCCCAGCTCCCCGCGGCTCCGTGGGGGACATGCTGGGCCCCGGGGCTCAGCTCCGCTGTTTCAGGTGGGACTCGGGGTGGGTGACCGAACCTCGGAGGTGGCGGCATCTAGCCCCGAACTTCCCACCACAGAGGAGCTTAGAAGTGGGGCGAGGCCCACGGGGGAAAGCTGCACAGGGCTGTTCACGCAAGCCTGGCTGGGCCGGGCCGCGGGATTCTGGCGTGAGCTTTGAGGGAGGAAAGGACTTGGTGTGGCCTCTGCCAGACCCTTCTCCTCAGGCTGTGGGTTAAACAACATGACTTCAAACCACACACTCGATGCTCAGCCTACAAACCACCTGCACTCTATGCACATGAGCACTAAGTGTGTGTCACTCACACACACGCACGCACCACGAGGTAGTTTAATTCACCATTAAAATCGCCATTGTTTCCACTTCTGTCACAGATGGTGGCCAGTGGCTGCACAGCAGCTCTCGGACCACTGCTGGATGGCACCCAGAGCGCGGGCGCTCTGGCAGTGACAGCTCCAAGTCAGCATGAATCCGCTTGGGTTCTAGTTTCCTGGTCTCCGAGAACTAGGCTGTGACTGCTTGAAATGAGTTGGTCACGTTCTCCGTGGCCCTCTGCACTGCGGGGCACAGTGGGGGGCCCCGCAGCTCGCCCCCCGGCCTGCCAGGCTGCTTCCCTGTGGGAGTCCCTCCAGTCTGCGCGCCGCAGGCCTCACTCAACTCCACCCGCAGTGCCTTCGGCAAACACGGCCGCCAGCCCTCCCCTCCCTGGGACAGTGCCGCCTCCCACACCCAGACCAAACAAAGTGCAAGGAATCCAGGCTCGGGAAAAGCAACATCTATTGTTCTCAGAGCCCGGCCAGGCGAGTCTCCTCAGGCCAGGGCAGGGAAGTCCTCGGGGTCGTCGGGGTTGGGAGCCGTGTCTTGCGTCTGTGGGGCAAAGTCAGGGCTGAGTCAGCAGCTGCCCCCCTGCTTCCCCTCCCCGCAGCTGTGCAACCCAGGGGAGGAAGCCAGGGGCCTGGCCTGGGGGGGGGGGGCACAGGGCGGCCAGCAAGGCAGCCGGGGCCTGCGGCCCTCCCACAAATCCTCGGTGAGTGCACGCAGTGAGCGGAACGTGTGTGACATGCTGGGCGGGGACGGAGGGCTGGGCACAGAGCCTGCCCCCGGAGCTCACGGCATCACACACAGTGGTACGGGAATGCTGGTCACACGTGGCCGGGCCCTGGGGGCTCACGGGACCCACATCCCGTGCGATGTGGTGGCAGAGCGGCCAGCACAGGCAGGCAGGGCCTGGGGAACAGGGATCTGCAAAGCATGACTCGGCCATGAGGGGGTAGGCAGTTCTGGGCAGGGGGAGCCCGGGGCGGGGTGCCAGGCCCACGGCCAGGACTGCAGGGGGCTGGAGCGGGGCTGCCATTGGAGAGGCTTGACCGTATATAACCCGTTCCCAGGTGGATCCTTTCTCCATCCTGGCTCCATTGTGCCCAGGAGTACCGTGTCTCTGCTCCTGCTCCAGGTGCTGCCCCCAAGGCCTCACACTGGCCCAGCATTCGACCCCCTGACGTGAAACTCCGTGTTTGCTCAGCGAACACTTAGGAAACACCTCCTGTGTGCCAAGCCCTGTGCTCCGCTCTGGAGGCCAACAACAAGCGGAAGCGGGCCAGGCACTGCGGTGCAGATCGGACCCTGCCTGGGACGCTTGCATCCCACTCGGGAGTGCCTGTTCCACTTCAGATCCCAGGCCCTTGCTAACGTGCCTGGGAGGCCGCAGGTGACAGCCCACGTCCTCCGACCTCTGCCAGCCACATGGGAGACCCATATGCAGTTCTGGGCTCCTGGCTTCAGCCTGGCCCAGCCCCAGCTGTTGCAGGCACTCGAGAGTGAACCAGCAGGTGGAAGCTCTCTCTGCCTCTGTGCCCGTCAAATAAATTAAAAACATAAACGCGAGCCGGCGCCGTGGCTCAATAGGCTAATCCTCCACCTTGCGGCGCCGGCACACCGGGTTCTAGTCCCGGTCGGGGCGCCGGATTCTGTCCCGGTTGCCCCTCTTCCAGGCCAGCTCTCTGCTATGGCCAGGGAGTGCAGTGGAGGATGGCCCAGGTGCTTGGGCCCTGCACCCCATGGGAGACCAGGAAAAAGCACCTGGATCCTGGCTCCTGCCATCGGATCAGCGCGGTGCGCCGGCTGCAGCGGCGGCCATTGGAGGGTGAACCAACGGCAAGGGAAGACCTTTCTCTCTCTGTCTCTCTCTCTCACTGTCCACTCTGCCTGTCAAAAAAAAAAAAAAAAAAAAAAAAAAAAAAAAAAAAAAAAACAACAACAAAAATAAAAAAAATAAAAAAAAAAAACATAAACGCGAGCAGAAGCAGATGTGGCTTCTGGCCACTGTGAGGCAGCAGGCACTAATCGACAGTCACCCCTGTGGGGACACGGATACAAATGCTACAAAGAGAAGCCTGGCTGCTCTCAAAGGGGTGCGATCAAAGAGCCTCTGAGGAGGCAGGGGGGAGGGGCTGCTCCAGCCGAGCAGGCAGGGGTGCAGGAGCAGCACCACGGACCGGTCATGGCCAGTGCCAGGACAGCAGCACTGGGGCACGCTGCCAACCAGGTGCACTCCCAAGGCTGACACGGTCTGCAGGGAGTTGTTCTCCGATTCTGGGCGTGCACTCAGCTTCCCAGTGCCCCAGCTCAGAGCCACCCTTGCTGGAGGACGCAGTGACTTGCGCGGGCCCAGGCCGGCCTCCGCCTGTCACTTCCTTCAGCTCACCTCCCAGGGCCTGCGTACGAACACCTACCACCACTTCCGCTCTGGGTCCGCAGTTCTCTGCCCTTCGGATCCTTCCCCGGCCTCCCCGGGGGCCGCCTCTGGCTCCACGCCCGGGACGAGGGAGGTTACCAAAATTAATCTCCAGCTGGGACGTGATGTCATTTGCAGCTTTCCGGAAAACATGGGAGTCGTCCTCATAGTCATCCTTTACCATCTACAACACAGTTACAGCATCACTCGCACAGCCCCCGGCACCCTTGCTGGGCGCTGCGTCCCGGGGAGGAGCCGCCCCACGCACCTGCGTCCCACATCGCCTTTGAACTCAGTTGCTTCAAGGGACACCGAATGTCCATCAGTTTAGCAGGCTAAGGGGCATCCTGCTGTGATTAAAACGTCCTCAGTCCTGCTTATTCCGTCTCATTTGCTCACAATGACGACTTGGATAAATAAGGACACAGCGCCTTCCCAGAACAGCACTTATGGGGAAGTCTGTCATTGTGGGTGCTGACTGCACAAAATACCCATGTGTTAAAAACAGCACGACTTATAATAATTCTCACTCAAAATCTAGAGATATGTTAAAATATAATAAGCATATATGTAAACATATACTATATAAGAAAACCTGTCGGGGGCCGGCACTGTGGTGCAGTGGGTTAAGCTGTTGCTTGTGACACTGGCACCCCATATCAGAGTGCCCGTCTGAGTCCACTTCTGATCCGATTCCCTGCTAATGCACCTGAGAAAGCAGCAGAAGACGGCCCACTGCTCAGGCCCCTGCACCCACGTGGGAGAGCAGGATGGGGTTCCAGGCTCCTGGCTTCAGCCTGGTCCAGCCATCTGGGGAGTGAACCGGCAGATGGAAGACCTCTCTCGGTCTCTCCCTCACTCTCTGTCGCTCTGCCTTTCAAACTAATAAACATACCTTAAACAACAACAACAAAAACCAACGAAACATGTCAATGAGCTTGGATGAGAATCTCCCAAGTGCTGTAAAGGTAACCATTCCTACAGCTTTTTTTTTTTAACTTCAGGAAATGGCATAAAATTTCCAGGAGCATATCAACATCCTTGGGTCCTGTGTTTACTGCAGGTTTCATGTTTAACTCTTACGCCCCCTTCAAACTTTCAGAGTAAAACAAAATACATGGGTTAGGCGGACGGGCCCTGAAGCTGCAACTGAAAGGACCACGCCGGAGCACTGGCCCTGGGGTGGAAGGATCAACACAGAAGAGTGAGGGACACAGCAGCAAGCCACTGCCTCCTCCGGGAAACAGCTGGCCATCAGCATGCACCAACAGGACGTGGGGGTGAGGGCTGCCTCCGGCCTCCCGCCGGCACGAGGACCAGGGCAGTGGGATGCAGGAGAAGTCAGTCTGCGGCTTAGGTTCCTCCCCCAGCTCTGGGGGCCCCAGGGCTCATCTCATGAGGCTGCTGCCAAGGCTACAAAGTTCCATGCGGTCAACACGGACGGCTCCAGTGCTGCTGTCTCGGGGTGCCCAGAACACAGAAAGTAGGTGACCCTCAGAGCTGGCCTATGTTGCTACAAGAACAATCCCTGGATACATCCTCCAGTGCTGTAAGGTTAGCAAGGACCAAACTCGTGAGCTGGATGAAGGCCAAGTTCAATGACTCAGCTAAGGTGGCTGCTTCAGATGTTCCGAGAGCCCTGAGCCGGGGAGCGAATGTGATGCGGACCAAGGAAGGGCTGCACGCTGCACATCCTGCCAGCTCTTTCACGTCAGCCAGCAACCAGAACGAAGCAAGAAGGCACACAGGTGAGGGCCAGGCCCCACGCGCTGCCAGATCTGTCACAGCCCTCACACAGCTCCCCAGAGGGGGCTCTGGCTTCCTCACCGACAGAAAGCCGGTCCAGTGAATTGGCTCCGGAGTCACCAGCCGGGCCTCCAAGGGCTCAGATTGACCAGAACGGATGGGTGGCAGGGGACACTGTCACAAATGACCCTCAAATGAAAGTGGAGACACAGACAAACCCACATCGATGCATTCCTGACGAAAACCAGTAAATGGCCCCCACAGGCAGGAGGCGTGTGCTGTCACCACCACCTCCGTGGTGACTGGCCGTAAGCTATGACTGCGTAGTACCAATCCCAAATTCTGTAATTTAAATCTCTCGGTGAACCCCTATGGCACATAACTTAAACACAATGTGCTATTTGCCCTGAAACGTCTCCTTTCAGAACTTGAGGCATCTGGTCCGGGGCGGGTGTTGTGGCGCAGAGGGCTGAGACGCTGCTTGAAATGCCCGCATCCCGTTAGAGAGCTGGTCGGACCCAGCTCCCTGAAACTGTGCCTGCGAAGGCAGCAGCACATGGCACAAGGACCTGGACCCCGTCACTCCCGTACGGGAGACCCAGATGGGGCTTCAGGCGCCTGGCCCAGCCCCACGTTGCGGGCATCTGGGGAGTGCATCGATGGCTGGGAGACCAATCTGTTTCTTCCCTTCATCTCACTCACTCTGTCTTTCTGTTGCTCTACCATTCGAGTAGACACACACAAAAAATCAACATTAGGAAAAAAAAGGACCCAAAGCCTCCCCTGAGGACTGAACATGCCCGGCGAGGAAGAACAGAGGAGAAGAGGCCGTCACACACGGGAGCTGCCTGGGCCCCGCTCGCAGCAGAGCCGGCTGCTGAGCAAGCTGACTGTGCCGGCTGCCGCTACCTGCTGTAGCTTCTGCTGGGAGGCACGGGGCGCAAAGCTGCCGAAACAGCGTGAAAAGGGCAACACGGAGCCCAGAGCTGCCACTGCCAATGAAGTGCTCTTACCGAGAACCACAGCGGAAAGTCACCTAATTACGAAAATGAAGAGCAGTTATCCTTTGAAAAGCATCACACAGGAAGGAGTCTTAACTCTCCCTTGAGATAAAAATGAAACACAATGAGCACACAGTATTTGCCGTCTCAGCGCAGCCCCAGGGTGAGCAAAAATGCACCTCCTTTTCTTGATAGACAGTAAACACAAAGTAAAATTAGACACACATCACCTCTGAGCACTCCTAAGTAGAAAGGAGAATGCTGACTACTAATGTTGCATACTAGAATGGAAGCGGACAGGCCCATTTTGTGTCTAACCGAGCAAGAGTCCAGGCCCCTCTACGGATGAGACGCAGACTTACATCATCTCTGTATTTTGACTTGTGAATCACCACTGCTTTGGAAGGGACAGTGGATTCTGGCTTCCGGATGTTAAACTCGGGCTTTGGTCTGGTCTGTTCTTGAAGATTCTTCCACTCATCTAAGGTCATCTCTTGAACTTGAGTTTCTTCTTCTACCTCCAACTCAGGAACTCTATAAGATGAATAGTCATAAAAAATAATTTTGACAGGGCTGAAAGGTCTACTTCATCAAAGACAGAGTTATTACCAAGAGCTGAGCACACTTTTGTGGTGGTGTATCTCAAATGTAAATAAGGTAAGAAAATACTTGAATCATAAGCTCCTGTATGCTAATTCCGTCATTTTATGCTATCATTTCCAACCAAAGATACTTCCTGCGTTCAAAGCGGTCTATGAGAAATGGGAACATCACCATCCAAATGACATTACCGTTACACTTCCCTACCAGTGCTCCCTTCCAGATGGCACTGCAGACAAAATGAGTAATTGTGGAAGAAAATAGTAGAAGCTATTGAAATAAACTGTAGGAAACCATGAATGGAAGTTTTAAAACAGTGGCTCACAAATGTATATTTTTGTAAGTATCCTTTTTAAGTTAATCAGTTTTAAAAACAGAAAGCTGACATATGGATCGATAGAAAAGATTCAGAATCCAGAAATAAACTCTCACATCTGTGGTCAACTGATTTACTTATACCAGGTTGCCAAAGGCAATTAATTCAGAGAAAGAAACAGTGACAAGCAGTGCTGGGATAACTGGATATCCACATGTACAAAAATGAAGCTGGACCCCTACCTCACACCATAAACACAAGAGCTACCAGTATAATATCTTGACATAAAACATAGGCATAGGGGTCAGAGTTGTGGTGTAGTGGGTAAAGCCACTGCCTACAATGCCGGCTACCCAAATGGTTGCCAGCTTGAATCCCAGCTGCTCCACTTCCCATCCATCAGCGGAGGACGGTCCAAGTCCTTGGGCCCCTGAACCCATGTGGGAGATCCAGAAAAAGCTCCTGGCTTCTGGCTTCAGTCTGGCCAAGCCCTGGCTGTTGTGGTCATCTGGGGAATGAACCAGCAGATAGAAGATTTCTCTCTATCTCTTGCCTGTTCCTCTCGCTCTGTAACTCTGCCTTTCAAATAAACAAATCTTAAAAAACAAAACAAAACAAAACAAAAAAAACCTTCGTAAGAGTAGATTAGCAATGGTTTATTCCATATGACATCAAAAGCATAGGTAAAAAAAGAAAAAGCAGATAAACTGGACATCATTAAAATTAAAAACTCTGGTGCTACCAAGGATGCCTCAAGAAAGTGAAAACACAGCTCAGAGAAAGGATAAAATACTTCCAATCAGAGATCACCCGGAATTCATAGCGAGTTTTTTCTATGTTGAGATAAATGACTCAACTAAAATGAGGCAACAATCTGAACATTTTCCCAAAGAAGATGTACAAGTACCGGGTAAGACGTGCTACATCTGGAGCCATCAGAAGTGAACATCAAAACCACCATGAGCTACAGCACTCCACAACAGAACACTTAACAAGTCCTGTCGGGGATGTGGGGAAATCGGAGCCCGTACGCCTCACGGGTGGGATGTAAAATGGTGTGGTCAGCGGGGAGAACAGCCTGGCAGTGTTCTAAGAATCTAGAGTCAGTACCCCACGCAGCAATTTCACGCTAGGAAAACATACATGCACATGAAAACTGGGACACAAATTGTCATAGAGTATTATAGGTGAAAGCAACCTAAATGTCCATCAATTGATGAATGGATACACTAAATAGGGTATTCTGGAATGGACCTTGAATACCTGATGCCAAGTGAGATAAGCCAGGCACAACAATACTTCTGCCTGATTCCATATAGATGCCATGTTCAGAAGGGGCAAATTCAGAGAGACCAAGAGCAGATCGGGGGCATAAGGGGCTAGGGGAGCGGGGCAGGGGGAGGGCCTGGTTTCCTTGTGACAAAAGCATTCTGGGACGGGATCATGGTGATGGCTGCAAACCACTGTGAATGTGCTCAAAGCCACCGAATCACAAACTTTAAAAGGATTAAAATTGTAAACTTTTTAAGTATTTTACCAGCCCACAAAAATCAGGCAAAAAAGAAAAGTACGGGCACACACCACATCATATATAAACCTCAAACATTATGTTAAATAAGAAAAACAATTAAAAGACTCCTCTAATGTAAACAGGAGGTACCTCTAGAATAAGCAACTTCACAAAAACCAAGTAGAACAGAGGCCACATGGGCTAAGGGGAGGTGATGTGGAAGTCCGTGTTTAATGGGTAGAGCTTCCATTTGGGGTGGTAAGTTCTAGAGGTGGCTATACATAACGTGAATGTAATTCATGCTAGCAAATTGTATATTTTAAAATTGTACAAATGGGGCTGGCGTTAAGCTACTACTGCAACACCAGCATCCTGTATGAGTGCTAGTTAGAGTTCGCACTGCTTCACATAGGATCCAGCTCCCGGCTAATGAGCCTGGGAGAGCAGCAGCAGATGGCCCAAGTACCTGGGCCCTTGCCACCCACGTGGGAGACCTGGATGGAGCTCCAGGCTGCTGTCCTCAGCCTGGCCCAGCAGTCGCTGTGGCCACGTGAACGAACCAGCAGATGGACAACCTCTCTCTGCGTCTCTCGGTCTTTCTCTGTAACTCTTTCAAATAAATAAACCTTTTTTTTTAAAAGGGTACACATAGCGATTTTTATATTATTTACATTACCATAATTTTAAAAAATTGATGTAATATCCTCAAACCATGGAATTGTATACTTTAAATGTCTGGGTCATAGAATATGAGAATAATAAAGTCGTTTAAAAGAGAAAAACAGCAAGTAGGGAATGGGGAGGTCATTACAAACATACCTTCACTGCAGGGCTAACGTAATTTAAGGATTTATAGATATCTATACAGGTTAATAACATGAGAAACACAGCAAAAAGAAGGCAGAAGTTAATCACAGAACATCCAAAATAGACACATTTGCACAACATTAAAATACCTGGTGCTAAGAAGGAAAAGAAAGCAGTGGCTGCCCTGAGGAGCAAAGAGGGGCTTCCTGCCAACTGGCAGTGCTCTGTACACCGACAAGCATGGCATGAGTCAGCACAGCTGTGCACCCAGCACTGGGCATTCACACTGCAGTGTCTGTGTATACTAACAGTGCGGCATGAGTCAGCACAGCTGTGCACTCGGCATTGGGCGTTCACACTGCAGTATCTGCACACTAACAGTGCGGCATGAGTCAGCACAGCTGTGCACTCGGCACTGGGCGTTCACACTGCACTGTGTGCACACTAACAGTGCGGCATGAGTCAGCACAGCTGTGCACCCGGCACTGGGCGTTCACACTGCACTGTGTGCACACTAACAGTGCGGCATGAGTCAGCACAGCTGTGCACCCGGCACTGGACATTCACACTGCAGTGTGTGCACACTAACAGTGCGGCATGAGTCAGCACAGCTGTGCACCCGGCACTAGACATTCACACTGCAGTGTCTGTGTATACTAACAAGTGTGGCTTGCTTTCCCAGGCCATAGCAGAGAGCTCGATGGAAGAGGGCCAGCTGGGTCCCGAACCAGCACCCACACGGATGGCACTACTTCAGGCCAGAGCGTTAACCTGCTATTGCACAGCAGTGGCCCCTATATGTATTTTTTAAAAAAATTCCAACATACATCAGGAAAACACAGGAATAGAAGCTATTTTAAAATACCATATTTTTCAGACTTAACTTGGGAAACATGTTCATATTTTACTTAATTATAAAAGGACTGAGTTAAAATTCAATCTCTGAAATTTGAAAGTAAAATAAATCAAATTCACCCAAATATCAAGTTGGCGACATGACCATGAAGAGAAACTATCTCAAATGATTTTAAATACAAACTGGATTACCGTCTCCCTCTAGGTAACTGTGCAGTGGTCATGTTACTGACGGCATTGTTGGCAATGTCACTTGTGACCTGTATGCATGTAGTCAATGAGTAATTGTGTGATGTCGCTGAGAATTAGGTTTTCAGAATGGTAGAAAAGGAGAAACAAATCTAAGAAAGTTTAGATAAAAATCCGCACCTTGGGGTCAGCACCATGGTGTAGCGGGTAGAGCCGCTGCTTGCGGTACCAGCATCGCATATGGGCGCCGGTTCGAGTTCCAGCTGCTACTTCCCATCCAGCTCTCTGCTGTGGCCTGGAAAGCAGTGGAAGATGACCCAAGTCCTTGGGCCCCTGCACCCACGTGGGAGGCCTGGAGGAAGCTCCTCGCTCCTGGCTTTGGATCGGTGCAGCTCTGGCCGTTATGGCCAACTGGGGAGTGAACCAGTGGATGGAAGACCTCTCTCTCTCTCTCTCTTTCTGCCTCTCCTTGTCTCCCTTTGTAACTCTGACTTTCAAATAAATAAATAAACATATATGTTTTTTATTTGACAGGTAGAGTTATAGACAGTGAGAGAGACACTGGTCTCCTGGTCTCCCATGCGGGTGCAGGGGCCCAAGCACTTGGGCCATCCTCCACTGCCTTCCCGGGCCACAGCAGAGAGCTGGACTGGAAGAGGAGCAACATGGACTAGAACTCAGCACCCATATGGGATGCCGGTGCCGCAGGCAGAGGATTAATCAAGTGAGCCACGGCGCCAGCCCCAATAAACAAATATTTTAAAAAGTGTATGGCTCCTTGGAACAATGGCTGCGTCTGAAGGCTGGGAAGTCTGGGGCCGGCAGTAACTTGTCTTGCCAGAAAGGAAAGAGACTATCTAAGATGTGTGTACTGAAAGGACTGGGGATCAATCCACAGCTCCTTCTAGCCAAAAACCTGCGCCAGGTTAAGCACCCACAAGCATAAGAACTCAGTGGCTGCACTGTGAGTTCATAGTGACTGGTAGAGTCCCCGGCACCTTCCCAGGATGCTAGGGTAAGTAACAGGTAAGAAGTAATTATCCTGCACCTCCTAAACAAGTGTGCTCTCAGTGTGATTACTGGGTTCTAGGTGAGCTTCTCTTGACAGAACCACGCCTGCTAACGAAGAAGGAATGACAGGATTAATCAATCCCAATCTGCACCCTAATGAATAAATGACAAAGCAGTGAAAATGAGCCGCCGCCCCTGATTTCATCAACCTTTGCCTCTCACTACTCGTTTTCCAGAAACACAGAA